TTTTTTATTAAATCTAGATTCAAAATTAAATCGTAGGCACTTACTTGGCATATTAAAACGACTTGATTCCGAAATAATACTGTTTAATGAAAAAAAAAATTAGTTCAGGTAAGTTTCATTATTGAACAACATTGATTGAATCTCAAAAGGTTATTCTATATCCGATGTTTACTTTAAAAGAATGCTTTTAGTACATGTATCCACGATGAAATCGTTAACTAAATTTTAAAAAAATACATATTTTCGAAGGTACAATTTTTAAGATTAAATCACAGGAATCTGAAGTTTACTCCAACCCACAAAAAGCCGACAAAATATCCCGAGACACACTCAACGTAAAAAAAAACACGAAGAAGGCAAAAAATTAAGGGGGCACTTATTAAAAAATCTCGGTTTGGTCTAAAAAGAATTTCCGAATAATTCAGTATCCGGTTTTGTTCTGCTTATTCAAGTTGAAAATTCGAATCTTCTTGACGATAACCATTATGAATAAAACGATAGGTGCCTTAGCTCTTCAAACAGAATGTTGCTGTCTCTACTCAGTTAAACGTCGAGACTTGTGTACAGCTGTGTATCGTTGTACAAATGAACTGTGCATCTGTGTTGTGTTATATTTTCTTAAAATTTTTCAGTCAAAGAAACAATACGTGTTCTCTAAAAATAAATCAGGTTTTTCATTATTATGTTTTGTTAAGAGTATTTCTGATAACAATGGGAAAAAATATTTAAAAAAAAGAAATTTAAGAAATTTTCTATGTATTCTGTTAATATTTTCAGAGAAACACTGAATGTTAACATAATATGTAAATGAGAAGCATGTTTCGGCTGTAAATCAAATTTGATATATTAAAGCAAGAGGAAAGAGAAGAAAAAACATTAAATAAAATTGCCAATGTGTTAAAATAAGGAAGAAGACTAAAAGTATATACTTAAATCTTTTATTCAACAATTCACAATACATGCAATAAGATTAAATGTGAAAACCTAATATACAGATTAAAAAAGATATAAAAATCATAGAAAGTTTTCAATTTCTTTATATTTAAAAACTTATTAATTCTAATATTGATATCATTTACGCCCAATATAGGTTCTTAACTAGTAACAAGGTCAAGCAATGGACATCTGAAATTTATCCGTTTCTTCGTTCGCATGAAGAGGAATTTGAGGAAATAAAGATTTAAAATTGTCAACACTTAATGCAAAAATTATGTTTTTAATCACAAAGATGAGTGCATTCAATATGCACTATTTTATAGTACTTATCTTTAAATATATCACTGGACAAGTCCTCAAATTGTAACCATTTAAATAAGTTATTTCAACTATAATAACATGGTTTATAAGGAACTAAAAATAAAATGTTGATATATGAAGGAAACAATTGAATCAAATGAATGACATTATTTAGAATCCATTTTCATAAATTGTAAGAACACATGTTAGTAAATAGGTACTGTGCAGATGGGTGAACCACATGGCTGTAGCACAAGGTCTTCTGTCGTTTCTTTTGACGAAACGGGTATACATGTACCGTTTCCACGCCTTAGCATATAAATAAACCAAACAAACAATTAACGCTTTTTAGAGTCGTAAATTTCAATTATTCACATGTACTTTCTGTATGTTTTGAAAAAATATAACATTAGCAAAAACAAAAACATCTAGTAGAATGCTCATCGGCTATGATCATTTTATATTAAAATAATCCCATTTACATGTGCATGCATGTACTTAAGCAAATACTTACTGCCGAGCTATATTCCTCGTACCAAATAAAGGCATTCGGATTATGTTTTGATTTAAACGCTGAGTAAATTGGCTTCAGAATGTTCTTGGAAAGAAACAATTTTTATACAACGGTAAAAAAAGTGTTTTTTATGTATATGTGGATTTTGCTCAATGTTTTTGTTAACTTTATAATGCATAATTTGCACATACACAGCAGATAACAATTAATGAAGTAGAATGATTTCAATCTTTGTTTGATTATTGCAGCCCGGAGGAGCAGACTGCTCTATACATATGTTTAAGTGTTGGTGTATGGGGATTTGGGTGGGAGCAGTTATGTAGAATTAAGGTTTTCTAAACATTGAAAAGATTGTTAATCAAAATGTTCTTTCCGTTTATAAATTACGAGATACATAATATATTTTCTTCTATAAAGCAAATCAGTAAAAATATATGTTTTTTTCATATTTAATATATAAAGTTACTTATAATATACTATCAAAACAACGACAGGTCCCTTTTATTAGAACATTGAATTTTACTTCTCGGATAAAAACGTACTCTGCATAGTGTTTTATATTCTAAAACTGAAAAATAATACATTTTGAAATATAAATGATGTTTGCGTGAGTCTTACTTCAATTCATTTTTTAATATGCAGCCAACATTTACTTAAGGAATTGATCAAGTTTAAAATGGTATCATTTTTCTTGGATTTTTCCCGAGTATAAGTTTTTAAAAATATTTGCGATTATCGTCTCCATCAATAAGACGCGTGCCTTTTTACACATATCGAAGCGGTTTGTTGGTCAAGATTCATTTTCATCGTTTACTTCATATATTTCCCGGGCGACAATTGATGGTTACATCAATGTTTTCTTGTTACCATTTGTAGAGATTTTACATACAGTGAACGTTAGTACTACTGATAAAAAAATTGTCGGAATTAAGATTTCTTTTTTTTCATTTACTTTTTATAAGGTTGTCGCAAAATTTAGTTTTGCTTGCCTTAAAGCTTGTTTGTCTAATTTTTAAGTTTTAATATAGCATTAGGTTTTGATTATTAATGGAAGAAACTAAATTTTAACTGTTCCTACATTGTTTAATACCATTTAAACGACAGAAATTACACATAGATATTATTAAATCAAAATTGACATAAACAATTCGTGTGTTTATTTGCTTGTGTCGCATCCATTGAAGAATTTTTACCTATATTGAGTCGAATCACTTGCATAAAGCGAACTGCAATTTGAGACTGTGTTATGCAATAACGCTTTAAGCAGTGAGTAATCTTTCTTATGCTATCTATGATTAACTTAATGGTGACATCCAAAGGACAGTTCTCCACGTCCGGCAGCAAGAATGAATCGGAAAATGAGGATATATTTTAACTCTATTTTAAAACACACGCTTTATACTGTGCCATGCAAGCGATTAAACGCGTGAATGTACACTCATTATAATACTCAAGTTTAATTTTTATATTATGAAAAAAAGTCATGGAAGTTATTGACTAAAAAATCAAAGTGAAATAGGTATACTTCATTTAGGAGGAAAAATATATTTGAAAAAAGAGCCACTTAATCAATGATAGATATTTTTATTTGTATGTCAGTAACAAGGTCGACTGTTTTCAAATTTGAATCTTTATCATTGATTTCTGAAACTGTGGAGGAAACGGATGTAAAAAAATATAATATTTTTGAGTACTGATCTGCTTATAAAGCGTGGATAAGTTCATATATAACAGAGAAAATCAGCCTTTGCTGAATTATCTATAACATATTTATATTTCAGTTAAACATAACTTATGAATACAGTTAATACCTACAAGGTATGTATGAAGTTCACTTGAAATTTTTCAACAAACAAGGTTCCTATAAAATGGATACTATATTTTATTTCTTGCATCATTCCTTCTTTACATTGGGTTTAACATAAACAAATTGTTTGCTTTAATATGATACTGCCAGGTAATGTTAGTGATAACCCATCATTGTTAAAGGTTTTTGTGACCAAAACTCTTTTTTATTTATATACTTAATAATACAGTAAAATGGTCTGCCGAGTTTTTTATTTCTTATTCATTATCCAAGAATGACTCTAATTCATATCCATATGTAGATAGTTTAGATTCCTCCTTTCTCTTTCTAGAGAAAAATGAGTCCTTTGTTCTCCGAATGCTGGTTATCGTTATGATCATCGTTCAGGGAGAAGCAAAAAAGACTTTTTGTCCTGGTAGCGTATGTTTTTGTCCAGACAGACTAACAGCAGATTGTTCCAATAGAAAGCTTGAAGCCATCCCAGAGGGACTGCCGAGGAGCATTAACACTTTAGTATTGTCAGGGAATAATTTATCATATCTATTGGACGACACGTTCAACCCTATCCGCCATTTGAATATTACAAACTTAATGATAGATCATTGTCAAATAAGGAATATGTCAGAATATTCTTTTGAGGATTTACAAAGCCTGGTTAGCATTGATTTAGCTTATAATGACTTACATTTAATTGATATATATCATGGTGTACGAAAGCTTGGAAGATCAAATGTGAAAGTGTTAAATATTTCTGGCACTGATTTATATACTGGAATACGTCCGTTTATTCCGCCTGATACCCATGATACCGGTTTATTTTTTACATCTTGGTCAATGGGGCTGGAGGAAATCGTAGTTCGATCCTGTCGTATACGATATTTTGCTTTTTTCTCTTTTAAAAGATTATCAAACCTCAGTAAATTAGATTTAGGAAGCAACTTCATATTTGGTTATCACATACCATCTATTCAAATGGATACTTTAGAAGAGCTGAATTTCACAGAAAATTATTTTGAAACTCTCCCCCAATTCTGTTTAAATGGCACGACACCAGCATTTCCTAACCTTAAAAAACTGTACATGGCAAGAAATATTTTGATGAATACAGTTCAATGGCACTGCCTCCAACAAGTAACATTTCTAGACATTTCACTGAATCTTTTTCCAGAAATCACCATGTTTTCCTTTACTTCTATGCTTCATTTACAAACTCTTATCATAGGTAATCTACGTGGAGTTGTATTGCGGAAAGATGCGTTAAGTTCAAAATCTCTTCAAACACTGTCCATCGAACGAATTGTTGACATAAAAGATAAGGAATTCAGATATATGTTTGGAACATGTCCAAATCTAAAGGTTTTGATAATAAAGAATACCGATTTTTCTAAAACTGATCTTAGGGAAGTGCTGCAACCTCTGAAACAATTGATATCCTTGACAATTGTTAATGGTGGAATAAGCCAGATGACTCCTCTTAATGATTTTACAAACTTGTCATACATCGATTACAGCTTTAATAAAATTAAGGAAATTCAAGGCGACATTTATCAAAATTTGTCCCTTTTCAATACATTAGTTCTTCAAAACAATAGTTTGAGTAATATCGATAAAACATTTTTGACACCTGTTCTCTGGGAGAAGAAAGATTTCTTTCTTGATGTATCCTTTAATCCCTTTGATTGTGGATGCCAGCTGGAATGGTTCAGAGTTTGGATAGAAAAAAACAAAAACAGAGCGATTGGGTACCCAAACAACTATATTTGCAATTCCCCATCTGAGTTAAAGGAGAAAAGCCTATCCAACTTTGATCCAGTTTCGGAGTGTCACAAAATAAATCCATATATCAGTTTAGCCTTTATTTCCTGTGGACTTTTGTCAGTTCTGATTTTCACTATAGTTCTTTTGAGAAAATTTCGCTGGGATATCAAATATTATATATACATTTGCAAAAACAGAAAACCAGTGGGATACAAAAGGTTTACAAATGATGAAGAATTTTTATATGATGCATTTATTGCTTACAACACAAACGACAGAAAATGGATCATGTCGGAACTGGTTCGAATGCTGGAAAGAAACCACAAATATAAACTATGTCTACACGAAAGAGACATCATTCCAGGGGGAGTATATGTGGAGGACATCCTCGAAAGTATTGACACGAGTAGGAAGTTAATGTTGGTGCTTTCCAATAATTTCATGGATGACCAGTGGTGTAAGTATGAAACAGCTCTGGCGAGCCACACCCTGGCAGACGGGGACGGTCATAAGCTTTTTCTGGTGTTACTGGAGGATATTCACTCCGAACACATCAACAGGACCCTGAAAGTGCTCCTCAAGTCTATACCTCATGTCGAGTGGACGGAAAATAAAACGGGGCAGAGAATGTTCTGGGAGACAATCAAGAAATTCATGGACGACAATTGAAAGGCAAAATACGTGTACTTTTTGAGATGAAATCAGTTATCTTTTTTTATTTCATTTTCAAATGAAATACATTGTTTCTTTATGATTAACATGTATATATATGATTTTGCCACTCACTTTACTAAAGTATTAATCTTATTATAGAGATGCATGGGCTAAGTACCTAAACCTAGGAATCTAAAATTTATTACTAAATGTGTATTAAATTGTCCTCAGGGAACTGAAACCCCATTCATTACCATTACATAATTAGTTACTAATAATTGTGAAAAATACTTTTTAATTAGTTTAAATATTTTTGACCTTTTAAACTTGGCCTTTGAGTTGGAACGACTTTGTAAAAATCTTTTACCTTGACCATAACTTCTGAATAGTTACATGTAGTACTAATGTAAAGGCTCTCTTATTGAATAGTTTTTTTTTCTTTGAGAAGAGACCATCCTCTTGATAAGAAACAATTTTAACCATATTTGACATTTGAATTTTATTTGGAAATTTTCAACCTTGAAGTTTGCAATAAGTTGCCATACTGTGGCATCAATGTTTCACAAGCACATCTTGTTTTTTCAATGTATATTGGAAAACTATTTATCTTTTGTAAGCATATACTGTAAACGTATAACATTTGGCTGTATATTCTTTTTAACGGCTTTGGCGGAATGCAGGGACCGCTAAATCAAGTACAACATTAATATTTACATTTCGAATAGATTTCCCCTATGATTCTTTACAAAATGAAATGCATTTCATTCTCTCATGAACTACATTACATATGCACCACGAATAAGCATGAATATCTCCATTGTTACATCATAGTACTGCACTTGATATAAAAAAATATATAGTGCACACTATTTTGCTTCAACAAAAACAGTTGAATTGCATAAATTTATGGCAAGTCATCAAAAAAATAATGTAAATATACATGTAGAAAATGAATTTGATTTTTGAAGATTCATATATCCACATATCGTACATGCTAAATATAATACATTTACAGTATCCTAAATGAATGGTAATCCGGATACATATAAATGAAATATATGTCTTTGAATGTATTCCCCTCATTGCTGACATATTAATTTGACATAAAGATACTTAAAATTCACACAAGCATAATTCATGTTTAAAGCTACCTTTATCTTGGGAAGGTGATCAATTCAGAATATCTGTAATTTTTTTTCTGTAGTTCATTGAAATGAAAAATTAAAATAAATTCTTTATCTTTTTCTCTTCTTCTTTCATTCAAAATCTATAATGTAAGTTTCAGAAATTAGAATGAAACTGTAGGAGTAATAAGCATTTAAAAAAAAATACAATTGTAATATCAAAGAAACATATCCTTATTTACAAAAAAAAAATTCTTGGCACTATGTTAACAAAAAAAACTAAAACAAAAAAAACAAACACACAAGAGGCTCAATTGCCTTATAAGTCACCTGAGCATTATGCAACAACTTTCAAATGATTGAATTTGGTTCAATTTTAAGCTAGATGCTATGGCATTCACTATTTTGAAAGAGGCTCTAGTACTAATCATAACTATAGACTTAGCAATTGCTAAATTTGGTTACTTAATACTCATACGCAGGGTAGGGGGAAACTTTATCAGTAATATTCAGCAAAAATCAAAAATGCTCCTACCACACATGAACCACTGACCTTCGGTCTACACATTGCGCAACTTTTGAAAAGGCAGACTTGCATATCAAAAATGTTTGATTGATACCAAGGAGCAGATTTCAAACAATTCATTTTCAGTAGATACATGTAAGTAAAGCACCCCCCCCCCTTTGGTATCCCTGATCCAGGGGCCTTGAAATTCACAACTCTTGAAGAAAAGTCCTTGCACATCATAACTATATAGGTCGTTCATCTCCTTATTACCCAGGAGAAGAGAAAAAAATTTTCATAGATGTAATGTATTTTCACTATATAGTCATTATAGAGCCACACCCTAACACTAGAACCCCTGACCATGCCGGGATGATAAAAATTCAAAATTTTAGTAGAAGCATTATCGCTCATCATAACTATGTACTTAGTTGTCCCCCGCTTTCGCGAAAGCGAGGGGACATTAAATCTCATTCGTCTGTCCGTCTGTCCGTCACAAAAACTTTAACCTTGCCCATAACTTTTGATTTAGTGGAGCTATGACTTTCATATTTCACATGTGTATTCCTTGTGACAAGACCATTCTTTGGGTATCACCAAATCTGACCTTTTGACCTTGACCTTGGAGTTTGACCCACTTTTACACAAAAATTTCAAACTTTTACTTTGGCCATAACTTTTGAATAGTAGGTACTAGGACTTTCATATTTCACATATGTATTGTTTGTGGCAAAACCTTTCATTGGATAACAACAACCTTGACCTTTTGACCTTGACCTTGGAGATTTACGTACTTATGAAAAAACTTTAACCTTGACCAGAACTTTTGAACGGTGGGAGCTAGGGCTTTTGCACTTTACATATGTAATCCCTGTGAGATGACCTTTCATTGGATACCAATAACTTTTACCCTTTGACCTTGACCTTGGAGTTTTAATTACTTTTTAAAAACTTTAACCTTGGTCACAACTTTTAAACAGTAGATAGTCGGACTTTAATATTTCACATATGCATTTCTTGTGGCAAGACATTTCATTGGATATCAACAACCTTGACCTTTTGACCTTGACCTTGGAGATTTACTTACTTATGAAAAATCTTTAACCTTGACCATAACTTTTGAACGGTGGGGGCTAGGGCTTTCGTACTTCACATATGTTTTCCTTTTGAGAAGACCTTTCATTGGATACCAACAACTTTTACCCTTTGACCTTGACATTGGAGTTTTAACTACTTTTAAAAAAAAAAACTTCAACTTTGAACACAACTTTTGAACGGTAAATACTAGGACTATTATATTTCAAATATGTATTCTTTGTGGCAAGTCCTTTCATTGGATACCAACAACTTTTACCCTTTGACCTTGACATTGGAGTTTTAACTACTTTTAAAAAAAAAACTTCAACTTTGAACACAACTTTTGAACGGTAAATACTAGGACTATTATATTTCAAATATGTATTCTTTGTGGCAAGTCCTTTCATTGGATATCAACAACTTTGATCATTTGACCTTGACCTTAAAGATTTACGTACTTATGAAAAAAACTTTAACCTTGACCATAAATTTTGAACAGTAAGGGCTAGGGCTTTCATACTTCACATATGTAATCCTTGTGAGAAAACCTTTCATTGGATATCAACAATTTTGACACTTTGATCTTGACCTTGGAGTTGTCCTACTTTTAAAAAACTTTTTACTTTGGCCATAACTTTTTAATGGTCAGGATTAGGGTTTTCATCATTAAAAAAAATCAACTTCAATGTTACTTTCTAAATAAATGACATATGATAGGATGTTCATATTACACACAATATGTCATAAAGATAACATCTCACCCACAAAGACACCGAAAGCGGGGGACCACAATTCTTTGAATTTGCTTGTTACTGTAAATTCCTAATTAAATGCGAGGAATTGATTTTTGCGTAATTTTGCGAAAAGCATCACTCGCCAAAAAAATTACCCACTTTTATTTTTATAGTACTGTAATCTATGTAAAATCTATTGATCAACCATCCATTTGCGAATTACAATTCTCAAGATTTGACGCTTAAGAGCAAGTTTGCGATAAAATGTTCTCGCGAAAAATAAGGAATTTACAGTAGTTTATTTAATACCCAGGACCAGAGAAGAAGATTTTCAAGGAAATAATGCATTTTCACAATATAATCAATAAAGCCCCATCTTAACACCAGAACCCTTGACCCTGGGGCCATACAATTCAACATTTTGGAAGAGGCACTCTTGCTCATCATAAAAATTTACTTAGTTTATTTAATACATAGAACCAAAGAAGAAGATTTTCAAAGATTTAATGCATTTTCACTTTAGAATCAATAGAGCCCCACCCTAACACCATGGGCCAAAAATTTAACAATATTGGTAGAGACACCCTTGCTCATTATAACTATGTGCTTAGATTATTTAATACTCAGGAGCAGAGAAGACTTTCAAAGAAATAGTGCAATTTCACTACAAAATAAAAACAGCCCCGCCCTATCACTAGAACCCCTGACCCTGGGGCCATCAATTTCACAATTTTGCTAGAGGACTCAATGCTGATTACAATCATACCAACAGTTTGACTGCTTTATGTCCAGGAGTAAAAAAAAAGATTTTTAAAGATAGCACTAAATTTAGCGGTTTTGGCCCAACCCCCAGGCCCCATTGGGTCATGGTCCATGAAATTCATAATTTCTGTTTCCCTTCACCCATGGATGCTATATGCCAAAATTTGTTGAAATTGGTTCAGCGATTTCAGAGAAGTTGAAAATGTTTAAATGTTAACACACAACGAACGACACATGACGGCAGACGAAAACTGATAGCAGTAGGTCACCTGAGTCTACTTAGGTGACCTAATAAAGCACATGTAGAATTCATTGCATGAAATTATCTTTTTAATTAAATAAATATAATCAAGATTAAGGTAAACAACTCTTTAATTTTCAACAGATGTTTATATTATAACATGATTAACATAAAACTCTCTTTTACTCTATTATGAAATAGTGAACAGCTGCCATATAAAGTGGGTTTAACATATATAGAATATATATACTAACAAAACCGGTGTTTTTTAGGATGATGAAATAATGAAAGGCTGCCTAAATCATGTTTAAAATATATACTGTACACAGTATGTATCAACAAACCAATGTTTTTGGGACAATGAAATAACGGCTGTCTTATGTTTCACATTTTCAGTATAAATCAACAAAACTGAGGTACTACTAAACAGAGTACGCTAGAGTTCTTCAGAGTACGCTAGAAAATCATGCATTTTAATATAATTAGACTGTTCATTTATGTACATACAACCTTCGAAATAATATTGCAACATTTGTCCCACATATTTGTATTTTTAGCGATATTTTGACAAGAAAGCAATATTCACGATTCAATGCATTAAAGGTTTATTAACCATGTTTATACCCAAATCTTGATTACAATTTTTTTCAGACTTTTTAATTTCAGCTAAATTTTCTTTATCAAAAATTTAAATACACTGTAATTTTTCACACTAAAAATGAAACATTTGAATTTAAATAAGATTGAGATCATCTGGATCAAACGATAAACCATAACCTGAAATAAAAAATTAAAATAACTTCTCTATAATTAAAAACATATACGCATTTTATTGAAAATGTATGTTTTTTATGTTAAACTAATGTAGAGAAACACACTAAAAGCAGTTTAATTGCATTAAATCATAAAATTTTATTAGCATACTCTAAAGTACTCTATCGTACTAGTGTACACTGTTTAGTAGGACTTCTAAGTAAACACTGGTGTGTTAAGTATGCTTCACATATATGAAACAATGAAAGGCTGTCATATGTTTCACATATATACAGTACAAATCAACAAAATCTGTGTTTTTTCGGATCCTGTAGACACCCTAACCAGAAGAAGAACTCCGCCATTTTTAACCTGTCCTCAGCTTTCAGCATGTCTAGAGGCTCTGTGTACATTATCTTCCCTGGAATTTCTGCGGAACCTCTCTGCCCTTTACACTTCCCTGGATCTTCTGCGGAACCCCTCTGCCCTTTACATAGGCTGATGGCATGTTTCTTTGATACTTTCAGTAATACAAAAATTAACTGCAACCAAAAAACAAGAGACTCAAGGGATACAATGCTAACCTGTGTTACCCCTTCTTTCTATTTAACCTTAAAAACAATGCAAATATTTAACATTAAAATTTATTGATATTACCATTTCCATTTTTTTTTCTGTGATAACTCTTTGAAAGTTAGCAGAGTTGATATCTTGATTATTCTACAGGAATGTAAATAAGGCACGTTGATAGGTCAGGAGCTTAGGAGGCCGAATATGCATGCAAATCTTGTGTGCATCTGTATCTGATGCTGTGGAGGCCAAATACGCATGTAAATATCTTGTGGCTGCATTTGTTTGACATTGGTGGGCAAGGACTATTGAAATTGGCATGGGAGTCTTAGGGTAACTTAAAAACATGTCTATATTTTAAAAATTTAAATCTTCAATTTTACTTTACAATGAAATGGAAATATAAAGGAGTCACTGTCTACTAGTTAGTATAGTATGCCAGGGACAACAATGATAGTGGGAAACATGGGATGATTTATGCAAAATGGGCTTCGCCCATTATGCAAATTATCCCATGTTTCCCATTATCTTTGATGCCCTGGCATACTATACTAACTAGACAGTGATTCCTTAAATAATTTATCACAATATGTTTTCTCTCTGTACTTTAAATGATTTTTTAAGCTCTATTTTTGCATAATTCTTTGAGAAAATTTTTATCCCAGTGGAGTGTACACTGATTGATAAGACACTCTTACTGTAGCTAGCTGACTATCATGACATTATGAGAGGTTGTTTCCTTCCATATAAATGTAAATGATTAATCCTATTATCCCCCATTATAGCAATGGGCCATGAATGAATAAGACTCTTAACTTATATTATGTTTTACGGTATGAAAAGTTTTCTTGACTTCTTAATTAGCCCCTTCATCTTTTATTTAATTTTTAAACAGCCCCATTAATTTCAATATAAATCAATCATCTACCCAAGATTATCTTGGGAAGGGCTGGGTAAATGATTATTTTTATTTATTTATTTATTGCACTTTATCCATGTTTCTTAAGGATGCTTTATACCATGCAAATTGAAATATGAAGAAGTTGAAAATGAAAATTCTATTCCATCTAAACACAACAGACAAACTTTGATCATAAAAACCTCCCCAGAGCCTATGGCTCAGATAACCTAAATATACAAAACTAAAATGCACAAAGCATGACATGATTTATCCTAATAACATACTTTACACCTATATTTTTTTGTATTGTGTGCCCTTACCTTTGTTTCCATGCAGAGAACTCCTAGGCAATTTGGATAGAATACAGAACGTCTTAATTGGCCAATGAGTTCTATTCCAAACTGTCCCATGATTTTGGTCCCAACTTGGTCTTTTATGTCTGCTGTGTCTTCATTAACTGGCGCTTCATGTACCTGAAATTAAAGAATAACAAGTGCTAGTAATTGTAGACAATGGTTTATGCACTTTAAGGCCTTTGACCAGTGTATCGTCCATCAACATTTAAAATATATGATATTGACTTAAGTAGCATTAGTTTAACGCAATTTTCAGGCTTAATAAAACATCATAAGGCCATACCAATAAAAAAATTTGTTCGTCTGACCAGCACGCTTATATTTACAGAAAAATATACAAATAATATCAATTTAAAATCCCCACACCATGGGAATGCTGTGCTGTTTTCTGTTATATTTATGCTCTATTTATCGTACTTTTAATCTACTTACTCTGCAAATCAAAAAAAATACAATTTTACGCTCAAATTTTTTTCACGCCCCGCCTAAAAATCTTGTCTACAAAAAAGTAAAAATATTATTATTTAACTGCTAGCGCTCTCGTATTTTTTATACCAAATGTCCGACGAATAAGAAATTAAATTGGTGTGGCCTAAGTTAGTGAGACTCATGACCTGTGATTAATAAGAGTGTTACAAAGCACAAGTGTGCACTATAACACAGCACACATTTTTCTATTAAGTTCTGTGTGTGACAATAGCACAGAACATACATGTACAGCAATAATGTGTGCATGTTTACTCCATAACCAAATGTGCTACTACAACACAGCATGAGTGCACCAATAACACAGTACACATTTACTCCATAGACACATGTGTGAGATAATATAACATCAGGTTTTGGGTTCAGTATGTTGTATCAACATCATCATAACATTAACTCTATAGACCTGCATACTGCAGAGAGTTCGATAAGTTTTTTTGTATCAGTTTCATTTTATTCAGTTTACATTGTGACATTATTATACTGTTAACTAATTTACCTCTGTTATAAACAATAGTTCCTCCCCCCTGGCCAGAGAATACCAAGGGTAGACAATACCAGGCTTCTTCCTCAAAGTACAATCATTTAATGTAAAGGATACCAGAGGTAATTCACTGAAAGAAAATAAAATGGACTTTTGAAATACAACTTAGACATTACAAAATACAAATTTTCGATTACACATGTTAAAACTTAAAAATTAATCATACCCTTAAAAATTCAGAATGACAACTTTAACTTGTATACATTTAAATGTGCATTGCGCAATGAATAAAGGTGATGACAAACCCAATGGCCTTTAGTTTAGGTTAATAAAACAAGCCTAAATTGTAAACTGAAATATGCCATATACATGTAATAATGATTGCTGTCTACCTCTCCAGACATTTTAGTGGTGGTGATGGGGGAAGGGGAGGAGGAAGGTAAGCTTATAACATTTACAACTTAAAGCCATGGACTTTCAAGATAAACAGTCATTCCATCAGTTTTACCTAAACAGTTAACAGACTCACCCTTCACTTAAAAAGAAGATTTTTCCGAACACTTTACAAAAGTTCAGGAAGTAATTTTTGCCTGGCCCTGCCTCATTTTGTTTTGATGAAGATAAAGGCTCCCTTAGCACCAGTTTAAGTAGTAACTCAGTCTCCCGGGCAAAGTGCCTCGAGGCAGAATTAAACAACACAGCGACCTCCAGGGCAGATTTCCCCACCGCTGATTCCAGCACCCTGCACAATCTGAACAGAGAAAATAAATGATTACAACTACCGTAAGCAGAATTTTTAGCCAGAATTTAATTTTGGCATCATTAGCAAGCGTGTTGTGAAAGCTAAAATGAATATCGCTAAAAATTAATTGTGTTATATTTGTAATGGCACCTCTAGTGAGCTTTTGAATATGGCTAAAATTATTTCTCACTAAAAATAAAATACCCATTTATTGGCTAGGCCAAATTGCTAAACTTTCGTCTCGCTTAAATTTCCACTCATACTGTAATTTCTTCTTTTCTATCCTACTTTTTATTATGTTTGTTTTTCCATTCTGTATTTCAAAACCAGTAAATGGAATAAAATGGTAAATCCATATGTATGGAAATTCAAGTCTGAAGGAAAATGGTAGACAGATAAGAATAATCTTCTTTTCTATTGTAACATTTATAGTTTAACTATTGTTTGTTTCAAGAAAGTATATGTCAGAAAAAGTTAGAGGATCAACTCATCATCATGATCATTTAGCATTGGTGTGGGAACTGGAAACACACAATTTATTTATCTAGGCCTTACTTATATCAGATTTGGAGGAAGTGTATGTATATTCTTGCATAAATTTTAAAATTGTTAATAAGTAACACTTCTTTGTTACAAGTATCCAATAACCTACTGGTTTTCAGAATCAAAATCCTCTGCTTTATCCTGCATCCTTTGGACATTCTCCTTTATTTTCCTAGACACTTCCTCTCTGGCCTCTATCACATCTTTAGCTGAAGCACACCTAATGTCCCGTACTTCTCCCAGATCATAAGAAAATGTCAGATCCTCTTCCAGTTGTCTCCTCAAAATATCAGTCATTCTGCTGGGATTGGGACATACACCTTCCCTATTCCTGTAACCGTCCTTCACTTCTTTGGTAAAATTCTCCAATGTTTCTGGTGTCTTCTCGAAGAAGATATTTAAGTACTCTAGGTCCCGATTGTCCCATTGGTTATCTGGGTTAGAGTTCCGTGATTCATCACTTGAAATAGAGCTCCCTGAGCAGCTAAATTCTGTGTCTGACTCAGCATCACTCAGTGAGGTGTAATCGTAGTGAGGTGAAGGTGGCTTTTTCTTCTTGGTTTGTAATTCTGCTTTACTAGAGCCTAGGGTTTCACTGTCTAAGACCTTTCCAAAACAAGAAAAAAATAAAAATATCAGAAAGTTTAAGCATTTTTACAAGAGGCCTGTGAGCAAAAAAGCTCACCCTAGTGACTTAATCCATACATGTACTTGAAAAGATTTCATTTCCCAGTATAAAAATGGGCATTGCTTTAAAATTTCATTACTGGAGCTTGATGATTAAAAGTCTTCTGAGAAACAAAAAAGTAGATACTCCCAATACATTTATTATGTAAGGGTAGCTGCAACCCCAATCCTTATCCCATCCTCCTTCAGTCTGCATTCTTAGGGGCCTGTTTTTATATCTTAGGTCAGGCGTTTTGTAATACAATAACATAATATAGACATGTAGTACATGAAATGAGCATGTTGAGCATGCACACAATGCAATTTATCCATCTGTAAAATGCCTTTTAGGGCAATGTTTTGTATTTCATCTTTTTACTGAATTTTATATTTTTTAAACTATTGATTTAAATCAAAAGATCACAATTCTCACCAAGTTTGGATTTTCATCATCTGGATCACTCGCCTTCCTTTTCCAAGTTCTCTCAGTTAAGGCTTTAGGTCCCATCAAGGCCATTTTTCTTCATCTTCTACAAATAACAATAAATCCATTAACATTTTTCTATTGCTAATAGATATACAGGCAATAATTTATGAATTAGCTTTTGTTTCTCTAAATGTTCTTGATCTCTAAGTGTCTGTCAATTTCTTCAACGGGATGAAATTGTTATTTACCAGTTGAGACACATATATGGGCAATACAGAAATGTATGGGATCCTTGCCTAAATAATGTATTTTTTTCAAGGAAAATTTCATATTTCCCTTTATTATTCAGTTTAATCTACATTTCTATATGCGACGTAACAAACTAGAAATTCCAAATGTTTCCTGAGGTTTGAAGGGATGGATCCCAGTTAAAACTGGAAAGGTATCGGATCCACATCAGCACTTAGTATCTCAAAAGTTTGCACCATGTTAGATTCTCTTATTTTATGACTGATTAGCTAGGCACTTTCCACTTTGTGACTCAAACCTTCAACCCTCAGAATATGACATTTAAAGTCCAACGCTCTAACGACTGAGCAAGGGTTAATTTTAACCCACTAGGAGCATGGCCTCACTATTTACAACACATATAGCCACTTTCTTCAACTCTGTTACAATTTTATAAAGATAACTCTTTGCATTTGGAAGACATACGTAAATGTTACAGTAAAACTTGGTTACAGCAAAGTCCTTGGGACCTGTGAATTTAATTCGCTATATCCGTAATTTGTTATATCCGTATAATGAAATAGTATAGCTATATATATAGCAATTTGCAATATGCACATTTTCCTTGAAGTTTTACCTAAGAGTGCAACGATAAACCGCTTGTCAGTATACCGTGGTTTATTTTTCCACAGTTCGGTTCATGATACGTGAAACTGATACAACGGTTTGGTTCAATCGTCCGTAATTATCTGATTCGTCCCTTTTTGTTCGTCATTTACAATTTCAAAATGGCTTCCACACGAAACATGAGGTCAATGAAACTGCAGAAACGGCAAATAAACTTGTTTCCAGTCTCATATTTAACGGGCTGAAGGATGTTATCACTTTCCTAGTGTTAGTGTAATGAGCATTTGATAAAACTTTTGAGTTTTAAGCATATGATCATAATGATGACAAACGTCTGACTTTTTAACCCAATATGTCATGTATCGTGATACATATTGTACCGTGAACTGAATACCATGAAACATTCATATCGTGGGGTAGGCGCATCGTTGCACCCCTAGTTTTACCGAATATGTTAGGGAAGCATAACATTACAAATAACATAGTGATACTTTGGATAAAAGGGTTTTTTTTTTAATGAATTGAATTTTAAATAAAAATACTTACTGAAAATAAAGTCAGATCAATATAACAAATTTTAAGATGCTTGAAAATTCGTTATATAAGATGAAAATTGCATTATTTTTAACCTCTACGGGATTCAAAATTACTTCGCTATATCCGTAAATTCGTTATATCAGAGTTCGTTATAACCGTAAAATTTTACAAAGATTTGTGAAGAATTTGGCCGGGAACCAGAAACACTTCGCTATATCCGTGAATTCGTTATATCCGTGTTTGCACTAAACGAGTTTAACTGTATCAACTTCTTATAATTTTCTGCAGTCAGTATTAAACATCAATGGTCAATTACTAGCTTTGTTGCTTCACTTGATTATTTACCTAAACATTTTAAAAGCCGATTCAAATGAGACATGCACATTTAGTCATTTATGCAGACACGTCTCTACAGTGAAGTCGCCAATTCCGGGTCACGTCACGGTGTTTTTTTGATATTTAGTAAATCTGTTCAATCTATATCTTATGCAATATATGTATTGAAAGAACAAATAGTGAGTCATCTAAACACCTTTTCGTTTTCAAAGTAGCTACACGGGAACATTATTTACAGGGGTATTTCAGCAAGGCCTAGCTTCCCCAGTTACGAATCATTTTCTCCATTTCTGGGTCATGTGACTTTACGGTTGTGTAATATTCGTGGAACGTTTCGGAACACGGTTTTTATGATGTTGAAAAATAAAACAGTTCCTGCAGCTTGGAAAAAAGTAAAACAACCACAGAAATATGTTTAAATTATTTTTAAAACAATTATAACAAAACATGCTGAATTAAAAAAAATATATTAGGATTAAAAATAATACAATTAAATTCATTTATTTAAAAAATGCATTTGAAGGGTTAACTCGATTTTAATTTTTAGAAAAAATATTTTCTAGTTAGAATACTTTTGATAATCAAGGTAAATACATGGTTGTCGATTGCTTTTGTACATAGAATTTTGACATGTTCATGCCATGAGATTGCGTGACCCGCAATTGGAGAAACTACTACAGTTTGATTTAATAATCATTATACTTTTATTTGAGCAGCGATCATTATGATTGATTTCTGAGTTAAAACTGAATGCATTTGTCATACTTTCGAGCTATCATTATCTATCTAGAACATTTATACCAGCCTTTCTGCAGCGAACAAAAACGAAAGTAGCCCGTCGCCGCAGCAGAAACATTCAAGTCTTTAATGCTTGCGTTTCAGAATTTCGATTGTCTGATGCCCTCTTAAAGTTTATATGCAAAATTTTGTAATTAATTGCATATAGAAAGACCAGTTCTTCATGACCAGCGTATTCATTAAGTTTTTTGTGCTTAAATTTAAACACTAGGCATAAAATACACGCGAGTGACCCGGAATAGGAGACGACCCGGAATTGGCGACTCCACTGTATCAGATGTTGTGTACGTTCAATACGTTATTTTCCAAAGTCCAAACAAACAAATACGAATCATATAAAAATATCATTTTAAAAAGATAAACTTCCTTACTTTGACATAATCAAATACAGGAATTTGTCTTTAAACCAAAGTGTTATCAGATTCTACTTCTTCAAACTTTTCTTGTGCATTTTTGTCAGCCCGTCGATTGTTTTGAGGAGTAAGTAATTCTGGAACTTCAAACCCGATCTTTATTTTTTTGCAAGTGCCATGTAGGTGTCATCGTCGCGACGATGTGCAGGTGTATACATACGGGGTGCGATCGATATAATGCAATAATCCCAAATTCCTCTCAGTCTATGTAAAATGATTCAAATATCAATTATAAAACTGTATATCTTCAGTTTTCATGATATTGAACAAATGTTGAAGGCTAAAATTAAAAGACAAAAAAAAAAAAAAAAAATTGAATACTTTTAATACAAACAATTTTCAACTCTGAAAAAGCATGCAGTTGCAATAAATTAATACGCAATATACTTTTTGTTGCACCATGAAGATCGAGGCATAATATGGTACATTTCACATTCACAATCATGACGGCATACATTGTATCTACATCCACTGAACAAGCTGATTGAAATCAATAATTATATACCCCCCCCCCCCCCCGGATGATGTTCACTCTAGAACCATCATGATTTTTAAAAATTCCCCGTTGAAATCTAGATATAGAATTATTATTAAGGTAATACTTTACCTGGAGTTGAAGAGTTCGATCCACTAAATGAAGGAACTGTGTGCAATATTTTTAATGTCTATATATGATTTGTACACCTCTTCCAAAACAATTTTTTATGAAAAAAAAAAAAATCTGGAATTTATGTTTTATAATTTTTGTTCATTTTTATTTGAATTATGCAATTTTTTTTTTTTTAAATTCGATATCTTTTCAAAACCCCTGGTAAGTCATGCTGATTTTTTGTCTAATAACATGTAATGATATTATAAGTTTAAATTTAGAGTATCTTGGAAAATTATCAGTAGGTAATAAGGTACGTTGCGTATGTCCTTAAGCCACCCAGGAGAGTTCTTCACTGTTAATTTATTGGACAATTGCAAGAAAAAGTGTAAATTTTAAATTATAAATTTTACTTTTATAATACAAAAGCATAATTATGCTGTTTTCAAATTTTATTTCATAATGTACATTACAAATAAATTTACATAAAATCAATGAAATATACATGAACATCAGCGGGTCTGTTAATCTCATAATCGTAAAAATGTTTTTTGCTATATATTAAAAAAAAGACAGTTCTTTCTGAATATATATATAACTCATTAATTTGTGAATAAGTATTTTTTTTTTCCTCTCCACGCTGTTGACTGGATCTTCTTAGGGATTTCCTTGTCGGTTTGGGATTTTCTTGTCGGTTAGGGATTTCCTTGTCGGTTTGGGATTTCCTTGTCGGTTTGAGATTTTCAAAGAGATTTCTTTGTTGACTGGAGATTTTCATAGATATTTCCTTGATCTTTGTTGTCATTACTACGGCCCATCATAAACTGTCCAGACTTGGTCTTTTGGGTTTTCTCCGGTTCTCCAAAAGGCAGAGTTTCGTATTCACCACTACTTCCCCCTACTTCACGTGGTTCTAATGTATTATCATACGTCGGTGGATTCTCTGTGTTCACTGTCTGTTCACCAACTTGTGGCTGAGTAGTTTGTCTTCCGTATGGGGCTATTTAAAAATTTCACAACGTCTTATGGAATAATGATAAATCATTGATCAACTCTATCAGAGCGGAATAAAATGTAAAATGATATTCATTGTAATTATAATCCTTTATCGCCTTACAAAATACTTACATTTCCGTATGATTATAACCACGGTCACCAATATCGACATAAAAGCGAGAGCACCAATGAAGGAAATCCAGACCTCCCGTTGTATCAGTACTGACACTGGAAAGCTTGATTTTACTTCTGTAATGTTTAAAAAAAAATCAAAATGCATTACATCCCCATAGAAAACAATCATGAAACACATGGAGATAACGAACCGTATTCAAGATCAAAAGTCCGTAAAACAATACAAAATAGAAGCAGAGCCCAAACTGACCTCAAAAACATCAGAGGTGGGGTCATTTTCAACAAAATATGAACATTTATATTGTATTTTTACCTTTAAAAAATTCTCTTATTTTAAATTATACTAGGTTATATTCCATCTTGAACATAGATATTTTATATTCTTCTTATTCTTCATTGCACATATATATTTGTTTAAGAGTTCATATAATAAAAACTTAAAATAAATACTGTATACAGGCATTTTCGCCACCATTTCATTTCGCCTCTTTCACAAAGGTCACTATAGTGGGCGAATTTAAGACATTATGAATTCAAAGAGGTCAGTACCTGGAATTCTTATTCAGAGCTCTGAATACTAGAATGCGAATTTAAAAGGGGCGATTACAAGGCCATAACTAGGTTCAAATATTTAGTGAGGCAAGGCTCCTGGGCATTCCTAGTCCCAGACGGCACAAGGATAGTACCTGATGGCCAGTGGTGGGGGTTTCCAGGGGTAGGGGGATCATGAAACATGCATGGGTATTAGAAAATGAAACATTTAATCTTGGAAAGTTTTTACGTTTTGAATTATCGTCCGCATGGCGCAGTGGTTAGAGTGTGTGCTCTAGAATCGCAGACTAAGGAGTTGATCCTTACATCGCGGGTTTGAATCCCACTGCGGGATGGTAGAGACCGGTCCTTCTTCTATGTCACAGTAAGTGATGTCACAAAAAAGATCTCTCAGTGTTCATTCATCTTCAGTGACCCTGAAAGCCCACTACAGGATTTAAAACTTGCAGTCCTCAAATGGCGAGTAGTGATGTCTCAATGTGAACATGGTGAATGAGAAGTTCTTAGAAGGGGTGTTAAACAATCAAACAATTTACAAAACAAACATTTGGAATTATTTTTACATGTGTTCTTAATGAAAATAAGGCACCTGGCTTGGGGGCCATAAAACTTAGACGAGCTCACTTTTGATCTCAATCTCACTTTTTCCAAAGGAATATATAGTGGAAAAGTGAGACTGAGATCAAAAGTGAGCTCGTCTAAGTTTTATTGCCCCCAGGCCTGGTGAGATTCAAACAAAGTTGAAATATTAACACTAAGACCCACATAACTCATGAGTTCAAGGTAAAACTTTTTCACTTTTCAGAAAACTCAAAAGAAACTATTGAGACATTTGCCTCACTTGCCTCAATGGAAGTTACGGCCCTGGCAAAACAGTTTGTTGATGGTAAAAAGCGAAAATAACAAGTGGCGAGAATAAATATGTACGAGGGGTGATCAAAAGGTTGGCGAACTAATTGAATAACTTCCATTAAAGAAACAATATTTGGTTTCAATACATCTCCCACCGTTTTGCTCGTGCGCGAATCACATGATATAGGCGTTCACGTGACCCCCTCCGTAGCGTCCTGTCACAAATGCTGAAAGATTTTTCTGAGTTTTATATTTCTTTCCATTTAAGTTATTTTTTATGACAAGAACAGTTCATTTGTCAGAAATGGTCAAATATTGGCAACAGAATGGGAGGATAAGAATATCCTTTCCAAAAATAAGCATGGCAACCATTAAAACCCAAATCTTCTGTCTCTGGAGAGACGTTTATTCAAGTCGGATAGAGAAAGGGTGCCTCCTTTTTATCATAATTAATAATTATGTTAAAAATCCAAAGTATATTATAACTTAGGTATTTAATAATCATATTAAAGTATTCAACTATTTTTCAATGTGTAAATTTGACGTCTTTGATAGCAAATTGCTTAATTAAAAAGACATCTCTTTTTAAACTTGCTTTCACCAGGCAACATAACAACTGTCATTTTTAACCATCTGCCTTCCTTCATGCTATGTTCTCATTATCACGATTGGCGCCACGATTGATATCGGGGACTCGACCGTGGACACATCGTAGTTCTCGTATAAAATCGAAACAAATCTTGTGTTCACTCGTGACTATCGTGTTGATCGTGAAATTTTTTTTGACTGTCAAAAATTTTTCTACGATTAACACGATTAGATTTTAATCGTAAACATCGCATCAAATCGCATTATATCGTAATTAACCTCAGCTGCATCGTAAGTAAACGAATCTAAACTGGCTTTCATATCGTGATCATCGGGATCGATCTCGGAAAGGACAAACACCCCGCTGAATGCCGATTCGTTGCGCTATCTCACGTTCTGTCACTATCTGTGACGCTTTGCGTGGCCCTACAGCTCACGTGCTGACACGGTATTTTCACGCTCAGAGACGATTTGATACGGACGTATAAGAGTAAACACCATTAGACACGAGTGTTAACGCTTTGTTGCGGAAAATCACGCTATATTACGAGTACTTAAGCTTGCAAAAATAACGGGAAAATTGAACGCGTTTCTTTCCCGATTGAAAAAAAAAGTCTGAGATTTGGAAAAATATTTTAAAGATGCCACCTAAAACAGGTACAAAAAAGAAAGAGGTGAAATTCTATCTTCTTCTGAACCTGAACCCGATTGACAACATCAGTGAAAAAAAATTAAAGATAAGAAATAGTTATACTGCTACTTTTGCTCTGGTTTGACAGCAATAACATATGACCATAGTTACACCACAAACATCACATTTGTGAAGTTGTCACCAACCTTTACTTCTGCAATTATTATTGATTGTATGTTTATGTTTTGCTTAATTTTCAATAGATAAAATATAATGAACTCAGTATAGCCAGATTTTTATATGTCTATCGCAGTACAATCGTAGCTCAAAGCGTGTTCTATCTTGATCCTGGTCGTGAAGGACATTGCAATGGACGTGATATTCTATCGTACATTTGCACAAGAGTGCGTGATGAACGTATTATGCCGTATGAGTACGTATTAAAACGTAGAAGATCCTTTCTAATCGAGAACTAGGATCGTGATATTCGTGACAGATCGATGTCCTTTTACGACTAAATCTTGATAATCCTATTGGAAGGTAATTCATCGTATCTGAACGGTAGTCAGATCGTCAGAGATCGCATCACATGAAATTTATCCATCGTGGCCATAGCGCATCAAAGCGTAAAAAAACGTATGAAAACGCACCTATACGCATCTCTTCGTATCTTGGCATAAAAGAAACACGCACGCTAACTCTCGATTCCCGCCTACATTTTGGAACCATTTA